GACCATATCCTAAATCTGGACGCCTAGGACTGACTTTATCTCAGGCCCTCAGGTTGTTTGTTTTCATAGTTTGATCCACAGGGTGCCCTAGGAGGTAAGAGTTGGAAAGGGCCATGACCCTGAAATCAGAGAATCTGGTTTCATATTTAGCTTCGGATTACTGTCTGTGTGCCTTTGCCAAGTCACTTAACTTCCTTGGGCCTCAGTTTCCTCGTGTTTAAAATGTGAGAGGATTGGATTAGAAGGCCAGTGAGACTTTTTAATTTTAGTCCTGTGAATGTATAAATACTCTGTACCAACCCAAACTTGGGTTTTGGTAGAGTCAACCTCTCCCAGCCTTGAGATGATAGTGAATGTGAAGGTATATCAGACAAATTTAACAAGCATCTTCTCTCCTCATCCCAACTTCTTCTGTCGGTCGTTCTTGTTCTTATCTCATGTTGCCTAGACTATTCTAAGAGTCTCCAGATTTGTCTTCTTGCCTCCATTTTCTCCCTTCTCCAACTCTCCCTTCTACAGATGCATGGAAGGAGCTGTGTTTTGTTGTATCTTTTACCCAACCTTTGATTTCTCCATTAATCAAACTTCCTTTTGGTGATTTTTTTTTTGCATTTGCCTTATTGTAGTCATTGTAGATATTGTTCTGTCTTTTTTTCCTTTATCAATTACATGCAGATCTTTGCACATTTCTTGGATATCCTCACATTCATTATTCCAGACTACCTTCCCACTATTATTTTGTTCTTCCCCTCTCCTTTTACTGTCTGTTCTAAGCCAGCTAAACAGCTAAATGTTCTCTTTTCTCATCCTTCCTTCTCTCACCTCTGTACATTGGCCATATCTGGAGAGTGTTCTTGTCTTGATTTACACCTTTTTTACCCCTTAAGACGCAGCTCAAGTACTTTCTCCTTCTTGAAGCTGTCCCTGATTCCCTTGCTGAAACTGATCTTTCCCTTCTTTTTGGGGGGTGGGGGTGGGGGTGGGGGGTGAGGCAGTCAGGGTTAAGTGACTTACCCGAGTCACACAGCTAGTAAGTGGCAAATGTCTGGAACTGGATTTGAATTCCAGTCCTCCTGACTCTAGGACCGGTGCTTTATCCACTATGCCACCTAGTTGCCCCTCCCTTCTCCTTTCCACAAGCATTTTAATGGTGGTAATAATGGTGACAACAATAATAACAATAACTGGTATTTATATAGCACTTTGCAGTTTTACATGTTATTTGACTTGATCCTTAAAACAATCTTTCCACCTAGATGCTATTATTCCCATTTTACATATGAGGAAACAGAGGTGGACAGAGGTTAACCAACTTGCTCAAGGTCACATAGGTAGTGTCTGAGGCCAGATTTGAACTCTGGTCTTCCTGATTCCCAGTATAGCACTTTGATCCCTTATATCACCTACCTCCTTGGATCTCCCTCTCATTTTGTTGCATTTAGCCTCCTTATTTGCAGTCCCTTCTCCGTTGACTATAAGCTCCTTGTGGACAGGGTCTTTCATTTCTCATCCTAGTATGCCCATCACTGTTTCATAGTAGGTACTCAGCAAATGTGGAATCAAATTCAATTCTTCATTACCAAATCACCTCCTGACAGGTCTCTTTTTGATTCTCTTCATTTTCCAACCTGTCCTCTACTTTAGTGCCTGAGTAATCTTCATCATCATCCTTCTCCTCCTCCTCCTTCTCTTCATCTTCTTCCACCACTCTAATAACATTCTCCTGTCGAAAGCCTTCTGATGCACCTTGTTGCATACTGAATATGGTGTAAATTCATGATCTTAGCACTCAAGGCCTTCCATATACTGACTCCAGCTTTATTTCATACAACTTATTAGTAATCCCTTTTATGGATCCTTTTGCAGCCAAATCATGTGACTTTTAGTTCTCAGTCTGGTCCTTTGTTCTATTAATATTTGATTCTGTTACAACTGCATTAGGTTGCTTGTATTTCTTATTGAATTACCCTATGCCTGGCCTATATTTCTCTTTCATATTTGTCTTCTGAAGTCCCTACTCTCCCTTTCATGCCTAACTCAAATGCCGCCTCTCTCAGGAAGCCCTCTTTGATTCCCTGGGGAATGGGGGGAGCATATGGTGCCTTCTACCAGTGTTAGATGATTAGCAAATGATGGTTGAATTGAATTTCCCCACCTCCACTGCGAAAGTGATCTCTCCCTCCTCACATTTCTCATGCACTTTGCCTGGACCTCTCTTTCCTACTTATTTCACTCTCCCTCATGTTCTAGTTACTTTTGTATGTATCTCCGTGTTCCTCATTAGATTGTAAGTTCCTTGGAGACAAGGACCTTGTACATAGTAAACATTTAGTAAGTATTTGGTGAATTAAATTTAATTCACTTCCCAGCAATTCATCTGAACTCTCAGCCAAATGAAACTGGAAGCAGAAAGGAAAACAGGAGGGAAAACACCTGCTCAGAGAAGTGTTTCTTTGGTACAAAAATCATTGACATTGCAAGATCTATATCCTTATGTTTTATGAAATATCCGTGGCCTCCATTTCTCTATTTCCTGTTGTTCCCTGCTTCCCCAACACAAATTTATTTTCTTGTTAAAAATTGTACAATGTGTGGCCTTGTATCAGACAAGTAGAAAAAGCAGGTGTCCTGTTTGGGGAGGAAGGTACTGGAAGTGAGTCAGGAGCCCTGGATTCAATTCCTGGCTCTTGCATTAAGTCTCTGTGTAACCTTGGGGCATTTTTTTCTTCTGTAAAATGAAAATATTAGACTAGATATTTTAGAATTAACTTCAGACTTCAAAAAAACCATAAGATTCTGTGAAAGTAAATAGACTTCCCCCAAAGAACCTGTGTGCTTAATATATGCAGGTAGTGAACTGTCTAGGCTAAGGCCAGAGAAAGAGCGCCTTTGAACATATCGCCTTTCTGTAAACTAATGCTGCTGAGTGGGGGGCCAACTTTATTGTCAGCACTATTGATCCTAGCTACTACCTCTTTGAAAACATAACTGAAAAGTGGAGCTATTCCTCTGTACTATCCTAGAGCAGCCATCTTTCCAGTCTCCATTGGCTGTCCCTGCACTTTTGAAAGGAGGCATTTTGTACCCAAAGCTCTGCTCAGCCCAAACCCCTAACTGCTACTGATCTTGAGCACCTTGGCTTCTCCCCATGGCCCTGGCCCGGCCCTGCCCTCAAACGGCTGTGTGTACATTTGGCACGGTGCCTCCTCTTCACTTCCTCTGGCAGACTGCTGTAGAACCCATAGTTATGACTCCCCTGAGATCACTTCCTCCCGAAGAACAATGAAGGTATTTGTACACCTGCCTCTGAGGAAGCCCAGGGCCAGAGCTACTTAGCTTTCAGGCCTTCTGGCCTTCCTTGGTTAGTTTTGCTAGTCAGAGTTGCTAGAAGCAGCTATTTGGATTTCCCCTGCTCTGACCTGTTGCTGTCCTAGGGCCAGACTGCTTGGTTCTGGTCCCACTGATCATCCTGTGGTGTTTTCCCAGTAAAGGATGTGTTAGGCCCTAGTATGCGGGTGGGGCTGTCATTAGCAGTGTCCTGCTACCCTAAGCTGATTCCTTGCCTGGGCAAAGGGCCGGCTTTCTTCCCTCTGTCTTCTTTGCTCTTCCCTAAAAGTGTAAGAGGGTCAGAAAGAGAGTCAGGAGACCAGATCAGTTCCTTTGTTTAGGGCTTGGTCTGCACAGGTAAAATATTTTAGAATCTTGGTGCTCAAAGTAGCCTGAGAGATCATAAAATTCAACACTTCCATTTTATTGATATGGAAAAAATGTGGCTCAGAGAGGGCCTTGCTTAAAGTAACCTTATAATTGTGTCAAATCTGGGATTCGAATTGAGATCTCCTGACCCCAGTCTTTGCTTTCACATCATATATTTCCTGTTTGCACATGACATTTTGTGGCTAAAAGCCGGCAGGTAAGTGCATTGCCGGCTGTCTTACAGTTGGGGGAAACTGAAGTGGTGGGATCCTACAGTAGAGGCACCTGGGCAGGCTGGGGAAGCAAACCTCAGCTTCTAGGCCCTTCAGAAAAGGATCTGTTCTGTAAAACTTAGACTCGGTCAAAAGGCCACCCCCAAGGACCTAGAGGGCCACATGTGGCCTCCAGGCTGCAGGTTCCCCACTCCTGTGCTAGGGTCTGTTGCCCTCAGTAGCATTCTTCCCTATTGTCTGCCTCTCCCCCCAGTCCCTCTAAATTCATACTCCTCCTAGGAAGTGTTCCCAGCATAGAGTGGTGGTCATTTCTTTCTCTAGCCTCCTAAGGTGTGTTGGGTATATGAGTCTTAACAATTAAAACTGCTTTGTAATTTGTCTCATTGTCTTGTCTTGTATTAATTAACAGTGTGTATTGTCTCCTTACAGTTAGCTCCTGTAGGGCAGGAATCACATTCTGTCCCTTATTTCATGAAATATTTGTTAGATATATTAATTTTATGAAGTGATTCTGATTTTATTGACCTCAGTCTAGTATTTTCTTGGAGGAAAAAATATTATTTCTTGTTTTGTGGTGGTTTGAATTTGCAGAAATAAAGGGGCAAGGGGCAGCTAGGTGGCACAGTGGATAGAGCCCTGGCCCTGGATTCAGAAGGACCTGAGTTCAAATCTGGCCTCAGACACATAACACTTACTAGCTGTGTGACCCTGGGCAAGTCACTTAACTCCATTGCCTAGCCAAAAACAAAACAAAAACAAAAAAAAGAAATAAAGGGGCAAACTGTTTTGGAAAGAGCTCAGAGAGATTTAGGGAGGTGCCAAAGGTGTGATTCAGCTAGTAAGGAGCTGAGCTAGAATTTGAATCCAGGATTCCAAATGGAGAGCTTTTTGTGCTTCCCTGCATCTGTTATTACTTGTATGATTTATCATCTAGTTATTGCAAAGGAAGCACTTTATAAAGCTTGATGTGTTGTAAAAATGTGAGTAGTTATTGCTAACATCATCATTATTAATGGGACTATCAGTCTAAGTTTCCTAACCAGTTTCTTCTGGTTTTGTTTTTTCGGTCAGCTGAGAACCAAAGGATCTAAGCTGGAACGAACCTTCCCACAGAATGCCTTCTCCACCAAAGAGCGACCTACAGGCAACAAAGATGAGAGCCGCACGAGGACTTTGGAAACCACTAACATTTCAGTAGCTGGGAGTTTGTGGGTGACATTTTCCCCTTCACCCCACCCACCGCCTCTGCCTTGGGCCGCAATGCTGTATTGAGTGCAGAAGAACCACGCTTTGACCTTGAGTTTCGGTGGATCGGGGTTTTGTATGGCAGCAGCGTAACCGTGGAGAGGCCAGGGTATCACAAACTTATGGATTTTGACAAGAGAGGAGGGAAAGGGGAGACGGAAGAAGGCAAAAGAATGGCCAAGACAGGGGGGGGAAGGAACACCCATGGCTGTCGGAACACAGGGACCAACTCGGGAGTCTTAATGGTGGGCCCCAATTTCCGGGTTGGGAAGAAGATCGGATGTGGCAATTTTGGGGAGCTCCGACTAGGTGAGAATGTTTTTACACTGTTATGCATGCTTAGACCAGGAGACCATAACATAGAGCATCAAGTGTGTTCATTGACAAAGCCTCTTTTGGAGAGTTGCAAAAAGCTTATATACTTCTTCCTCCTCCTGTTCTACTTGTAAAGTATTATGGCCTACTCCCCCGGACCTCCACCCCCAGAAAAAAATGACCATCGGGCTTTAGAGAAGTGAAAATTAGCGCCATTTGACAAATGTGTTGGGGACCATCTGCATAGATAGGACTTTGGCCTGGTTCTCTTTGTTCTTCACTGATAAAGGGTGTCCTTGCCAATACAATAGATACCACTACTTTTAAGCAGAAAAACAAAAGAATGAAACTGTTTCCTCTTCTTGCTCCCTGTTCTCCTATTCCAGCTTGTTCCTTTGGACAAATTGCTGGGGAAGAGGGTGGCTAGCTCCCAGTAAGCAACTGGAGGTGTGATCACTTAACAAATGTTGAGGCTATTTTTAAAGGAGGAAGCAGCAGTGAAGTAGTCTGAGGTCATCGAATACATACAGATCTTTACTTGAGTTCCCTCTTTTCCCGAGAAAGAATCTTTAAATGATGCTGACAACGCCCCCCCCATACCTAATTTTCCTGCTATACTGTCAGTTCCATTAATCTACTATTAATTGTTATTGTATACAAATACAATTGTATTTGAAGGTAAAAAAGACCTTGGACGTATATGAAATATTACTTGCAATGTTAAAGCATTTTTGTGTGTGTATTTTAACTTAACAGTGGGAGGTGGTATAGTGGATAGAGTGAACTCAGAAGATCTGAGTTCAGATGTGGCCTCAGACACTCACTGGCTATGGGACCCTGGGCAGAGATCACTTAACCCTGTTTGCCTCAGTTTCCTCATTTGTAAAATGAGTGGGAGAAGCAAACCATTGCAGTTTCTTTGCCAAAAGGGTCACAAAGAGTCAGACGCAACCAAAAATGACTAAACAGCAGCAGCAGCCGTTTCCCCAGCAGTTCCTTTTTAACAGGCCCCAAATAGGACAAAGGGCAGATGTTAACTTGTGTTAGCTCTGCTCCAATGTTAATCCAACTCCTGCATTTATCATAGGTGGAGGGGTCAGCGTGATATACCAGGACAGCCTCCAGTATTCTCCCTTATCCTCCCTCTTGTTTTTCCTGCTCCATATTCCTGTCTTTCTCTCTCTTACCACCTTTAAACAAGTATAAAATTGTAAATTTTCAGTTATCTGACATTCAGAACATGATAGATATACAAAGAGATTCAAAAACCATCCAGTCCAATTCCTTCATTTTACTGATGAGGAAACTGAGGTCCAGAGGTAAAGTGACTTCCTAAAGGTCACACAGGTAGTAAGTATATAAGCAGTAAATAAAGCAGTTAAGCAGTATATAAATATTAGTAATAATAACCTGAACTTTTATTAGTTGACAATTCTGTGTATCTCTATCTAGCATGTTGGTAGTTGATGTTACAGATAGTGATTGCAAGATTTTGAAGTGCCATCCTAAAGAAGGGTTTAATTATTTTCAGTGTTGTTTTCATTTGGAATGCTTTTTATTATCTCATTAAGTTTAGTGACCCGTGATTTGTATATATGGCAACTCTTCAGTTAATCAGAGTCTTGGATCAACTAGATTTCCCAACCATAGAGCTTGCTCTAGGAATATGTTTTCCATGTACAACTTTGCAAGTATTACTATTTCTGTCTATAACAAAGCCAAGAGCTAGAAAGAAAACAGCCAAAATCCATGTACATTCCTCAGTGGATAACGTAACCCAGAAAAGGAATTCTCTTTTTCATAATTTTCATAATTTGGAGAAACTGTTTTCCCGGCTCACAGCTGATAGGAGGATACTTTAAGCGGCCATCCAGTGCAGCCTCTACACTCAAGGAATCCTAATTATAACATACTGACATGTGGTCATCTAATTTCTGCTTGAATCAGTAAACCAACACTCATTTATTATTTATTGGAGATCTCCAAGGAGGGGAAACCCACCACCTCTCAAAGTGATTCATTCCACTTTGGAGCAGCTCTGACGGTCAGGAAGTTTGCATTGACGCTAAATTTCTCTCATTGCAACTTCCCATTGCTCTCAGTTCTGCCCTTTGGGGCTGAACAGAAAAATATAGATAGTCCTTTTTCCATATGTTTGTCCTTGAAATACTTAGGGATAGCTATTACAATTCCTGCATTCTTTCCAAAGTAAAGAAGTGGGGAGGGGGAAGAATACCTATGGGGCTTCAGCATCAGCCAGTTAGAAAAACTGTAAAAAGCAGAAGTCAGAACTGAGCACTCAGGGCATATGAAGGAGGTAATGTTGTGAAAGGGTAAACAGTTTCACATCTTTCAAAAGAAACAGTGCTTTAAGGAATTAAGTAAATCTGTACTATCAGTGCCAGGGATGCTTCTCCCCGTGATGCAAATCATAATATCCATCCACATTGTTCTCCTTTTGGGTACAATTTCTGATCTTGCCTTTGCTTAAATCATCCAAAGAAGCATTATCTAGTGCACGAGGGGTCTTCTTTGGATTCTTTTGCCATCGTACGACCAGCAAGGCAACTTGGGCTCTCTGCCAATGCCTCTCCTGACTGGCAAGCAAATGCCTCCTCTCTTTAATGTATGCATTTTGGATGATGATGTACGTGAGTGATGGCAGCTTACAGTAATAGAGGTTTACAGTGATGCCAAGCTATCATAAAAAGAAAAGTTATGTTCAGTATGCTCTGTTTAAAAAGGCAGGGAGGTACATAATCCTTATGAGTCATTTCTTTTTTTTTTAAATCATAATTTATGTTTTCCCCAGTTACATGTAAAGACGATTTTTAACATTCATTTAAAAAAGATTTTTGAGTTCCATATTTTCTCTCTTCTTCCTTTACCTCCTCCCTCTCTGAGACAATAAACAGTTTGATACAGCTTATAACTGTTCAGTCATGCAAAACATATTACTACACTAGTCATATTATGAAAGAAAACACACACCCAAAGGAAAATAAAAACACACAAAATTACAGAAAGTGAAAAAAAGAGTATGCCTCAATCTGCATTCAGACTCCATCAGTTCTTTCTCTGGAAGCAGATAGCATTTTTCATCGTGAGTCCTTTGGAATTGTCTTAGATTGTTATATTGCTGAGAAGAACTAAGTTATTCACAGTTGATCATTGTACAGTATTGCTCTTACTGTGTACAATGTTCTCCTGGTTCTGCTCACTTTACTTAGCATCAGTTCATGTAAATCTCTCCAGGTTTTTCTAAAATCTGCCTGCTCATCATTTCTTAGAGCACAGCAGTATTCCAGTACAATCATGTGCCACAGCTTGTTCAGCCATTCTCCAGTGGATGGGCATCCTCTCAATTTCCAACTTTTTGCCACTATGAAAAGAGCTGTTAAAAATATTTTTGTACAAATAGGTCCTTTTTTAAAAAATCTTTTTTGGATACAGACCTGATAGTGGTATTGTTGGTGGTATGCACAGTTTTATAACCCTTTTGGCATAGTTCCAAATTGCTCTCTAAAACAATTGGATCAGTTCAGTCACAACTCCACCAACAATGCGTTAGTGTCTTGAGAGTAATTTCCATCACAGATGCTTAAAGTAAAAGGTTTTGGTCACAAGGCCTTGGCTCTCTAATTTTTTTTAATTCAGCTTTTTATTCAGTATGTTACAAAAGATAAGTCAAAAAGTAGAAAAGATCACAAGCTTGTGTCATCATCTGGCTCCTTGAATTCTCCTTTTTTGTCTTTTTCCGGGAGCAGCTGTGTTAGCAAGAGCAGCACCTCCAACAGAGGGAGCAGCAGTTGCAGGGGCAGGTTCACTAACTCCTACATTGCATGTGAAATGTCCAAAACATTGGACGGTGGCTTTGTAAATAGCCCAGGCCAGAAGGGTTCAATATTTCCAATTGCTGCTCTAATGACCCAGCATGATAGTGATCTCAAATCATTGTAAAGAATGAGTTCAGAATAGATGCAGAGATGTTCTGCCTTTGAGGTGACCATTTCACAGGCTGGGCAAATGGAGATTATTACTTGTAGTGATACTGGTGACCAACCAAAATGCAGGTTTCACTCCCCCAAAGTTTCTGAGGAAAGACTGAGTGCCTCAGAGACAGTTGAATAGAAAGCATCTTAGGATTTTAAAATATTCAGTTAAGACTTTAATTCCTCAGAATCTTTGGGGTAGGAGTTGTTCTAAAGAGAAAGTAAGGAGTGAGTCTTCATTTTACAGAAAAATTCATAATAGGGTATCTTTAAAAATCCCAACTAATCTTCTCTGATACATTTTTTAAAAAATCTCATTTTGAATGGTTAATGGGTTGTGATGTGCACTGATGGAGTGAGTACCCACATAGATGTGGTCATAAACATTGAGTTGAAATTTATACCCAGCTTTTTTTTTTTAAGAGCTGTATCTGTTCCACATAGTGAGATTAACTTCTGTAGTATTTTGTAACTGTAAGCTGTATGTTTCTTACAGGCTTTGGAGGAAGTTCTCAAAAATTATCTGGATTTCAGTTTAGGGTCCTTAGTGGTTAGATATATGAATTTGAGCCCCTGAGAGTCTTGAGGTAGAAGTCTGGTCTGTCCAGAAGAAAGTACGTTTGCCTTGACAGTACTTCCTGTATGTACTGCTACCCTTGCCCCACTAGTTGATTGGCCAAGCTGTGGAAAGCTTTGGTCTGGTCTGTTGCACACAACTTGAATTCTGCCTGTTTGTCTCTGTCTCTGAACTACCTTTCTTGTCTTTAGGGAATGAGGTCCTCCTGTGAGTTCATTGGCCTGTTGGTAGTCAGATTATTGGTCTGCATTGTATGCTTTCTCCTGATGGAAATCCTTAGAACCATTGTGTCCAAAGAGGGTTCTGGAGACCAGTGTCACCAAGGACATGAACCTAAGTGTCAAGTTCTTAAAACTTGTGGCCTCTTGACTCCTTGCATTTGCATAGACTAGGGCAAGAGCCAGTTGTCTTTTAAACTAGCCTGA